TTTTTTTTTTTTTTTTTGTTCTTTCTATGACAAGTTTTTCTACCATGATTTACTTATTCCAATATTTTTTAAATTACAGAAACTATTGAGGTACTATGACACAATATCCTTAATTTATGTTTCTGTCCATTATTGGTAACTATAATTTAAATAAAAAAACCGGGGACAAAATTAATTAAAATTTTGTGCTAAACGCAGCTTCAAAATGGCCTTAATTAAGAAATTTATTAATTTACACATGCTCGATCGATCGATGATCAACCTGATCAACTCCCTTCCCCGGCCGGCAATCCAAATTAAACGATCCATAGTCGTCTACTAATTAATTTAGGGTGCTAATTAATTAGTAGATTAATCCTACTACTTAAATTTATTTTTCAACAGAGTACTACTATTAATTACTTGATACGCTCATCATCATTTTCTTCGTCGTGGCCCTGAAAGGGCAGTTGGATCCCACAAACCCGTCCACCAGATGCAGATACGTCTTGAGATCGTGACACGTGGCCAAATCCCTACCGTTGAGGTACGGTGAGTCCCGGCTGCTGAGCCTCAGCTCGCATCCCACGTCAGCATACACCCACTGCGTGTCCTCCACCAGCTTCTGAACCCACCCCTCGCCGCTCGTCTCCTCATTCCCGACCACAAATCCCAGCACCTTCGTCACCACGTCATCATTGTTCACAATCCGTAGGATTTTTGTCCCTTGTCTGTCCAGCTGGCACCGGAAGCTCCGGTTCCCTACACGTGGCCCCGCAAACGATATCACGGTCACCATCCGCGACTTTCCAAACGTCTCCTTGATGTCGTAGGCCACCAGCGTGGCGAGGGCCGCCCCTAGCGAGTGTCCCGTGATCGTGAAGCTCAACTGCTCCTCACCGTAGACTCGGAGGACTCGAGATATTTCTTGCCTCACGAGTTCTTGCAAACTCGGCCGATTTTTTTCCGATCTCGACGTGTACAAACTCAAGAACCCGCTCTCCACCGTGGCCTCGGGTAGTAATCCCGATTGGATTTGGGGGTTGAAATCTAGAGATGATAGGGTTGATTGGAGATTTTCGACCCACTCGAGACCCGTGGCCGTGTCTCGAAAAGCCACGACCACGTCCCGTCTGCCGAGCCTCGAGATTTCCCTCGGGTCGTGACACACGGCCACGTACCCAATCCAAGCGGATTTGCGAACCGTCCAGACTGGGCCTCGTTCGGCCCAGTCTGGAAGCTCTGTACCCGACGTGGCAACCAAGTTCTTGGTGACCCGGTAGCCCGTGTGGGGAAAACCCGACCCGTCGAGAAGCTTCCACTTGGGAAAACGACATGTGGCGTATGAGGGGGAGGAGGGGTCGAAATCGCAGGACCTATAGGCGGCCTTGACAAAATGGCCGTAACGTATGATCTCGGATTGTAAGTTGTCGTCGAGGGGGTCGAGCATGCCTTCCCAATCTGTGGAACCTTGGTAGTCCATCCACCGTTTGTTGATGATTGGGGTTGGGTGGTCGTGAGATGGTTGGTCGAGAAAAGAAGGGCTCGTTTTTTTGTCGATCGGGAGGTTTGTTAGGATTCTTTTCGGGATTTCGAATACTTTAGTGGTGAGGGTGTTTTTGGTTTTGGGGTTGGTGATGGTGTGGCAATGTGGTTTGGTACATGTCGTCCATATATATGGAGCCTCATGGGTTTTGTTACTATATATATATATATGTATGTATATGTGTGTGTGTGTGTGTGTATGTTTTTTGTTATAATTGAATATTGATATGCAAAGTGTTATGGGGATTTGAATTTGAGTTAGGGGTGTTTTTATAGTGAGCAGAAAGTATGAAGCATATGTAGATGAAGAGCCTATAAACATTTAGTACAATAATTATAGACAAGGCCAGGCCCCGAGACAACTTTAAGTAATCTACTCGCTCTTAAAAAAATACGTGTGGAGATAAACTTACACAGTACATTTGATGAGTACTATTCGCAAGAAAAAAAAAAAAAATCTACACTCATTTGTCAAACATTAATTAATTGGTGGGGTGATGCAGAGCGTGGTAGACGAAAGGGAAGAACGAGATACTTTCTCGTACGAAACTAAAATATCTGATAAATCTTCAAAAACTGTCCCGCTTATGCGCATGAGAGTACAATATATAGAATCTAAACTCTCTTAATCCTACTTGTCTTGCCTAACAAGCTAGGTCAATATTATTTGCTTAACAATAAAACTTAATAACTAAGGCAATAAAATAAACAAATAATACTAGTAAAGAAATAAATAAATACGGACTCGATCCTATTTATTATCGCGGTCTCGTCTCCATCATCCTCCCCCGGTTGAGAAGGATTCGGCCGCGAATCCGATCTGGTCTCGTCTCCAGCAAAAACGCAAGGTGTACAACTTTAATAAATTCAAACCCTGGCAACTTCTTTTCGTCATGCAGATTTAGACTAAGAAAATAAAATGAAAGGAAAATGTCAAAATGGTTCCCACTAAGCTCCTGGCACGCATTGTGACACACCAATGAAGGCCATTGAGGAGAGAAAACACATGTTCCCAGGAAATTGAGTACTTCAGTTGCTGCTTCCAATGGCCTATTCCTGAAGCTTGAACTAGAGCTAGCGGCAGCATTACATTGTTCGCATCCATCCGCAGATACAACAAAACGATTGGCCTCGGAAAAAAGATCACCGAAAAGAGCTTCATCTTCATGACAGATAACAGTTTCGACTGCCGAGGAACCCGATGCTTCCGTCCCACTAGAACATGGTCTCTCCAGTAGTGGCTTTAAGTTGATACCCGCAGAATGAAGGAAGAAAGCCAGCTGCATCAGATTGTCGAGCCACTGAATTGATGGTGGAAATATAAATGCCAATAACTCGTCCACTGTATACGTTCGCAACAATAATATTTCCTTATTCCGGACATGGCATACAGGAGCGTCAGGCCCTGTGCCGTCAGTACACCTAGTATCATGGTCACCCATAACAAAAATGTAATGTGCATGATCCATTGTATCAGAAATGATTTTCAAGATGAAAAAAATCACACGGGGAGAGCAAGCCAATGGAAGTTTGTGGGTGGAACCATATTTATCTGAGCTCCAGACATCAGAGTCTACAATATGTAAGATAGAAATCGCTGCACATGTGATGTATTCAATTGATCCAGCACCCAAAGTGTCATACAAAGGAACACAATATAATCCATGAGCATTACAAGCCTCCATACTTAAAACCCACTTAGGGGAATTAGCACAAAAAATTCCACATCGTCCTCCCTCCTCAACTCCACATCTGCCAATGAAATTTCCAATGTATAGCACAATGTCATAAGCTGCTTGATAAGTCATCCATATGTATATACATGGCTTCCCACTAACAACTTCACGACGACCGAGCATTCTATTATTGGGACTTTTCTCTACCGACAAGCGAAAAGCGTTATCTACAAAGGCACCAGGCGAAAGAAAAAGGACAGACGATGGACCCGGCAAAGCTCGAGGAAGCCTTGGATGCAAAACGGTCTCAACACCCCCAAAAAGGGAACTATAGGTGTTAAGTCGATCGTCATGCGTAGCGTCACGGTCGTACTGCCAAGGACGTCCCAAAAGCATATGACAAGCATCCAATGGTACAACATCGTACCAAATATGATCCTGATACCTCGGTCTAATGGAGAAAGAAATCAACACGCAACGGTCCACAGTGACCGCCGTGCTTTTTTGGATCCAGGCAAGAGTATATGGTTGTGGATGAGGTTCCGTCGAAAGGCCGAGCTTCTCCACTGCATCTTTAGTAAAGACATTCTCGCATGACCCGGAATCGATAATGAACCGGCACACGCAATCACCAACAGTACACGTCGATTCGAAAATATTATGTCGCTCAACTGGTTTGCTTGAGTCCCGAGGTGCTACACATGACCGCTGAAGAACAAGGGCCCGTCCAACGGCACCGGTGAGGTGCTCTTCAACGGGCTCGGGCTCGGGCTCGGGCTCTTCGTCGAATACAGGTGGTCCGTCATACACGTTCTCCGCTCCATGCAACGCGGACTCTTCTGCAAACAAATTACGGGAACTCGTCCCCCGTGGACATGCACTTTGTCGGTGCCCAACTTCGCCACACCCAAAGCAACGTAGCCCGGCACCCGCACGCTGGCCCGTCGAATTACCAACCGCTGTCGAAGCATTGCCAAGACCCGAACTTCCAGTCCGGTTCGGCCCCTGGCCCGCGGTCGAAGAACCGACTCGCTGGCCCACGCCAACCAACCGGCCTGGAATTATTGTCGATGAACCAGCCCCGCCTCGCGAACCCGGTAAGAAATTCAAAGAAGCCCGTAGGGTTAGTTGTTGTTCAATCATCAGAGCCCTTTGGTGCGCATCAGATACCGAGTCCGAAACAAAAAGATTCAACATATCTTGAATCGAAACCCTCAGCCCTCCAATATAACGCGAAACCAACTGATCCTCCGTCTCGTGTACACTTATGCGTGTGAGGAGTCGATAGAACTCCTCGGTATACTCATCTACCAATCGTGCCCCTTGTCGTATAGATTGGAATTTTTGGTAGATCGCATGACGATAATTGAAGGGTAAAAATTCCTGTTCGAGATGTTTGCGGAACTTAGCCCAAGATGTAATTTTGGATTTGCCCAGACGATGCCGCTTCGCCCTGAGTTGCATAAACCAAGCCGCGGCCCTTCCACGCAGCCTAGTCGCGATGAATTCCACCCGGCGATCATCCGGAACATCATTGAAGTCGAGGATCGACTCCACAGCAGCGAGCCAATCGAGAAACTCCGCGGCGTCGAGCCCGCCCGTGAATTCCGGTACCTCAATCCGAAAGCTCGACTCCCAGCGGTTGTCGCTTCCTTCTCCCGCGCGACGTTGACCGCGAGGCATGTCCCAGCCCTCGTCGTCCCGGTGTACCGAACGTTGCTCGCCATGGTCGTCTTCTCGATGCTCCCGTCGACCGCCGAAGGGGTTGGCGTCCGACAGAGCGTGGTAGACGAAAGGGAAGAACGAGATACTTTCTCGTACGAAACTAAAATATCTGATAAATCTTCAAAAACTGTCCCGCTTATGCGCATGAGAGTACAATATATAGAATCTAAACTCTCTTAATCCTACTTGTCTTGCCTAACAAGCTAGGTCAATATTATTTGCTTAACAATAAAACTTAATAACTAAGGCAATAAAATAAACAAATAATACTAGTAAAGAAATAAATAAATACGGACTCGATCCTATTTATTATCGCGGTCTCGTCTCCATCATGGGGTGCTTTTTATTCTATAGTTCATATCCACCTGCCGTCAATGTAGAAACATATTATAGATGTGAATTAACCGCTTGATCAGGAATGGTAGATAATTGAATTCACCACACCTACACTACACATGAAAGAATATATTTTACACCATTTTCATGAAATAAGAAATAAAATATAAAACAATACATGGCAAATGGAAATTAACTTGAAACGTTTACAAAGATAATTATGTGTGTGTGTATATGCACACACATTAATAGGTGGAAAATAAATTAGAAGTATTATTAAATTTGCTAGTATAATAATATATATATAGATGTGTTACAACCAGGTTGGTGGTGGAGAAAAAGGACGTCGTGTGTAACTGTAAAAACAGAAACTTGTGATCAACGGTGGGACCCATATATTGAATGAACATCGACGGCCTACAACCAATCATCTTTGGTCGGAGGGAGATTGTGGACCGGAGGATATATATCTAATTATCAATTTCGACGGCCAAATCTTCACTGCCACGTCACCCTGCCCCCTCCTTTTTCCATTTATTCTTCTTCTTGTTTTTCCCTCCCTTTTTTTTAGGGTGTTGTTAAATACCGCCCCCTTTTCGATATTTAACCCCCACAAAAGTTGATTTTGCCCTTTAACTTAAAAAAAAAAACTAATTAATTTTTTTTATACAATATCTCTTCCAATTCCGGACTTCGAAAAATTCCGACCAACTCCGGCGACGACAATGGCGGCAAAGAAGGTACGTTTTTTTTTTTTTT